GTGGGGTGTGTGGGGCAGAGAAGAGAGACGAGGACAATTCCCTATGAAAGGAGAGCTGATTCAAGGAGGCATAAGAGAGAAATACAGAATTGACTGCTATGAAGGAGGTCAGTGCAAGAGTGCCTGGCTGCCTCCTTTGCCTCCTGTAGGAAAACGTGGGCATTTGGTGTCATCAAAAGATAAATTTTGTATCTCTTATTGCCTTGCTTGCTGACTACAAGAACTATACAGTTTAATCTGAGAAATAATTTTCATGGGGTTTAGTCATACATTCATACTGTTTTGATGAGACCATTCTTATACTTGCCTCTGTGTGTAAATAAATTAAATAAATGATTCCATGTCAGCAATAGCATTCTTTTCTATTATTTTTAGTATAATCCTCTGTTTTGTTGAAGCAATTTATTGCTGATGATTTACTTCTTGTCTTAATAGGTCAGAGAAGAAAAAAAGAACATTCTTCCCTGAGACATGGATTTGGCACTGCCTCAACATCAGGTATTTGTGGCAAGCTTTTTGGGCTATGTGCAGGGAGGCCCTTTGGAGATTTTAGTTCACCGGCATAAATGTGTCCCTGGCTCACAAATTCCTTTAAAACAAATTAGTGGTTGCATCCACATCTTCCAAATTTTAACTTATTTCCCCCTTATCCTTTATTATGAGAAGTTACTTGCATTAAACAAGAATATTCACTGCTTTACAGTTTACCTTGTCTGGAAGATTATTCTGTTGTAGTAGCGGAGTCTAACTGCAAGGAAGAAGCAGGGACAGTGATCAAGGGCTGCTAAGGTTTTGCTCCCACAGTGTTAGTGGGGACAGCTGACTTGCAGATGCAGCTGGAATTTAATCTGTACTGCAGTCTAGCATTTAACACTTGGAATTCTTTGTAAAGCACATCTCTGTGGACTGTGCTTGTGGTTTGCTGACTAAAAACAGTGCTGCACTTGTCAGGTATGGTCTTTGAGCTGATGGAAGCCTGCAGAGCACTTTGCTGGTGCTGTAGAGAGCTGCCTGGTTACGTGGTGATAGCTCTTGTTTCTACCTGCTAAAATGCATTGAAGGAAAGCTAAAACCACATTGAATACTCCTTGGTAAAAAGTTACTGCAGGTGCTACAGGGACATAATACGAATGAGCGAAGAGAAGTTCTGTTTACATCATTGCTTGTGGGGTCAGAGGTTTCCTTGAGATGAGCACTCTCCTAGGATGCAGACAACACTCAGGATGCCTGAAGTAGTGTGAATCATCCTTCAAAGTATGCGGGCCACAAAGAGCCTCAGTAACAGAGGGGACAAGGAATGTGTATGATGCCTCATATCTTTGCATATTTACCAGGATGTAAAGGTCATTTTTAAGGCTTCTGAGGCTTAGTGTACAGATTGATTGCTGTGTGATCACTGTGACAAGACACTGGCAGGAGAGCAGTGCCTCCAAAATCCTTGTATAATATAGCCATGCACTGATGAACACTCTATTTTGATTTGGTATGTCAACTCAACATTGTACAGAGCTCCTCCCTTCATTTTCCATTTTGTCCAGGGGCTTACCAGTTTTACCATCCAATAAATCAGATCCTGTTCCTGGCATAATGAGTGACACAGAAAATGGATAAATAGATGACTAATTCCTCCCAGAGGCAGCACATCCAGGGATAGGAAATTTGAGGCAGGTTTTAAAAGGCTTCTCCAGGTTTGCAAGTAAACTTCATTTCCATTGAATGGTTATAAATTAAATTTGACAGGAATTTGCAGCAAGTGTATTCAAATCTGTTCAATTGAGCATGAAATATGCTTTGTAGAATTACACCAAGAATTCCAGAAGTGCCTGTTTGCCCCAGCCTCCCAAGGCCCAGTTAATTATGAGTTTCTGGAATCAAAGTTGCAGATGGCATTTTCTTCACTTCATTTCACTATAAATAACTGAGCTAAACGTTGCCTGATTTCCACTCTTTTGAACAGGAAGATTTTTTTTTTTCTTTTTACCGTTTATAATTACAATATACAAGCCTTAAAAAAGAATCAAAAGCCTAATGTCAACTTCCCAAACCGATTTTAAAAATTCCTAGAGCCTGGCTGAAATGTGTAATGACTGGAAATGTGTGTGTACCTTGGCCCCCCGCCCAGAAGAGTAAGTGCCCTCATGTGTGAAAATAATATGTTAATGCTGGTTATGGGCTGAAATCCCAGTGGAAAGAACATCAGCTGCAACAAATTGTCCGGTTAAATGGACTGGAATTGTGCCAGCTGTGGGGCTGGGATGCCCTTCTACTGATTCTCCATGGCTGCAGTTTGCTGCAGGTACCAGCTTTTCAGCTCTTATTATAGTTGCAAACTTAAGCATAAAGAAACTGATGAGTTTGAGAGAGGTTAAAATAACATGGAGTTTGCTGAGCCAACTGCCTTTCACAGGAAGGTCCCTCTGCTGAAGGGCTCTCTGCAGGATGGGGTATGTAGAGACAGGCTGAGTTTAGCACGCAGCATCACCAAGGGCATACTGAGCTCTATGTTTTCTTGAACCGTGAATGTTTCCCTGTTGGGATTTCATCGAAACGTCATTTGTGAAAATAGTCAAAGGGATCTGAGCAGCAGGTCTAGCTTCTGTCCTGTCAGCCATCTGCAGTTTTTTCATTGTTCAGTGTTCTTAACTCTCTTGTAGACCTGTATTCCAGCGTGAAATGCAGTATATATGAGCATAGCGTTTATCTTGCTTATCTGGCTGGGTAGAATTACCAGGTAGGTTTTCAGTTGAGTAGTTATGTTGTTTAATACATTGACAGAATTACAACAGTTATTTGAACAGATCCGTAATATGTAAAAAGAAGAACGTTTCACCCTCCTCCTATGCAGTCTGGCAGCTGCTTCTCTCAGGAGATAATCCTTCATTCTTTGTTCCAGTGCTTCTGTGAGCTTGGCTCCTCCTCAATGAAGGTCAATGCAGTAGGTTCAGATATGAGCCTCAGAGCTTGGAGACCTCTTCTGATTAGTGGCATTTATTGTTGTTTCTTCTTCAACATCAGTTGCATCGCTTTAACAGATAGAAAGTAATCAGGGATCTGCCCAGAGCCTCTCCTCCAGTTCCAGGCATGATACCCATGTATCATTTGGGGTTTTTTCAACACAGAAATAAATGGGTGTTTTAAATAAATGTACTTTAAACCGTGAAGTTAATTCAAAGTCCCGTTTAGCTTTTAGTGCTGAAAGTCCTACAAACTAATGCATGATGCTTTGCCTAATTCATTAACTGTGATGTTAACACATCATCATTGTAACTCTTTATATGGATTATATAAAACATATTCATCAGAATCCTAAAGCATGGATTTCCTAGGTAGAATAGGAGTGTGTTTAACTCTTTGAACTTAAGACTTTTCTAGGTACCCCCTGAATCCATGGGTACCATGATCTGTGAGGGCAGCATGCTATTATGTGGACACTACCTCTGTTTACTCTAGAGTCTTGTTTGCTCTTCGTTCTTGCCTGCTAAGGTGTATGTTCTTTTTAAAAGACTCTAGAATTAGCAGGCATGTGCATCAGGCTCTGGGGTAGAAATAAGAACTCCAAAGAAAGCATTCTTCAGGGTCTACTCCTAAATGTACCAGTCATGCTGCCAGCTGAGTCAGGAAATAGCTCTGGTTCTTGTGTTAGAGAAGACTGTTTGTCCTTCTAGATAGGGCCAGAATTCTTTTGGGGGAGGAAGATAGTGAAGGATGTAGCACAGCGTTGAATCCTGAGTTTCACAAAGCATGAAGAATATTGGGCAACAGAATTATAGTAGGCACATTGTGATACACCCAGGAGAGCTGACTGAAAGACAGGTTGTCCAGTTTGCAAGCTTTCAGTATTTTTTGCATTTGGTTTTAACCTTTTTGGAGCAAAACCAGAGTTTTCTGTAAATTATAATTCCGAAAAAAAGGTTCCTGAAAAGTAATATGCTCTCCAGGGCAGGGAACAGCTGAGTGAAACTGATGTTCAGAACATTTCTAACCAGCTCTCATTCAGGCAAAGTCTCCTATGTGGCAGTACATATAACAGAAGTAACAAATTCCAACAGATTACTGTACTTTTATTTCACTGATTGTTTGATAAATCATAGTTTAATCCTGAACTAGAGTTTCTCTTTCTTTTTCTTAATACAGACCTTTGCCTCTAAGGAAAGTGATTCTGTTGCCAAAGAGCAAATGCCTTTAAAGCTTTTAATCCAGGAAAGATTTAAAAGTGAGATGCTGTGTTACTCTATGCTAGCCAATAGCTGCTTGTCTACTCCTTGCTCGTGCATCTGAGTTACTGCAGAGGTTTCCAAAACAGCAGATATCTAGCAAGAAAAAGATCCAGTCTTGCAGCCTTTGGTGTTCTGGCATGCAAAGAAGACATCCTGAGTCACATATTGATACTATGTTGTAAGCTAGGATCTGGAGGAATTTCCCAAAGCATTTAGCTGCAGAAGCTTTTTGGCTTGGTTCAAATACGTCTTGTTGATCTGACTAGCCCATTACTCCTTATTCTTGTTGGCAGTGACACCTCAGGAGAAGCGCAGCTACATGTGGAAGTGCCTGACTCAATAACTACATGGATAACAGAGGCTGTGGGCCTGTCTGAGGACAAGGGGCTAGGCCTAGCCAATCAAACAGAACTGAAAACATTCAAATCTTTCTTCATTGATTTCACCTTGCCCTATCGTGTCATTCGTGGGGAGCAGACCAAAATCCCACTTACAGTCTACAATTACCTGGCTGTCTGTGTAGAGGTAACAGCCTTTTAACCTATTCCAGAAACACTGAACTTTCTTCCATGATCAAGGAATGTAACCTAGCTGTGATGTTTGCAAAGAAGTGTTAGGTAAGGTGCTGAGAAAGTAAAATGACAAGAGTAGCATAAATACTGAGAGAGAGAAAGACATTTATTAGTTTGTACTGGTAGTGAAAGTGGATGCTTTATTATTTTGTTAATAAATGTTGAAAAATTATTTGAGAGACAATGAAGAAATTCCCACTGAAGAATGGTGAAGTAGCTTTGTTTTTAGTTGGACTACCACCGTGTCATTTACTGTTGAGACAGACATCTGTTAAAGATGAATACTGGAAAAGTTTTCCCTCTTTTTCAAGCATACACTCCTCTTACCTTCTACACTTTTCTTACAGTCATTGGGTTTATTTGTGTATCTTTATTGTGTTATATTTCATGAAGTTGTTGCTTTGACTAATTAGTGATAAACATATGCTAGGTATATGTGTGTGTGTGTATGTGTATATATATATATA